AAAGTCTCGATATCTTTCTTGTTTCTTGTCAAAATCCTTTGAAATTTTGAACATAGGTCTACATTATGAATATCTACAGCATGATATAAAAGAATTTTCATGAAAGCACGCGCATGTGCGCGTGCTGTAATCTGATTGGCTGAAACTTTAAATGGCTATATATCCTTTGTTTTTTTAACGAAATTCTTTGAAATTTAAAATATAGTCATGCATTAGGATAACCTACAATATGGTATAGAAAAAAAAATCATGAAATCACACGCATGCACGTGTGCTGCAATCTGATTGGCTGAAACTTGAAATGGCTATAACTCTCTTGTTTTTCAACCAAACCGGATGGGATTTAGAACAGAGATAGATGTAAAGGACTCCTACAAGAAGGTATGGTCATCATGCACGTGCACGCACGTGCGTGCATTTAGAACGAGTATAATTAAAAATACACTTGAATGAGTGATTTTTATTTCTTTTGGACTGAATGCTTTAATATATAGTATATTAAAATATATAGATAGTGTAGACAAGATGATATGGTCATAACGCACATGCATTCAGGTACATGCGCACGCGTGCTATGCTAAAATTTGAATATACTTGGTATACTTCTGGAAAAACGTTTTTAAAGTCTTAAATGCATATAGTTTGTCTTATTTAATGAAGCTTACAGGGAATATGGCACCAAAAGGGAGTTGGGAGCGTTTGGGGAACATCTGTAACGGTTCCCGTTACAATTAGCACTAGTTTAAAATATATCCAAGTATTCTAAAAATTATATTAGACCAAGATTGAGTAGTTGAAAACTTAATTTACATACATGTATTTTCCATATTTGAGTAAGCAAACACAATTTTTCTTTACCTCATTGTCTTTGAAGATTTTTTTCCTGAGAAAAAGGCATACTCACTGTATTTATTTAAAATACCCCCCTTTAAGCTTTATGCTATATAATTTTCTTAGATTCTAAAAAAAAAAATTATCGGTGTATAGGGGGTCCTTAAAGAAATTTATTTTCATTTCAGACTACCTATCCAAATTGCCACCTCATATTCTGGACAAAATTTTCATGCATGTTCAAAAAGTAGATTCTGAATGTAAACTATATGAAGTTTGCAAAGACTTTAGAAACTGTGTTTATTTCAAAAGAACAGATTTTGTTGTCCATGTTGATGCTTTATCTGTGCACTGTGGCATTAAATTTATGCCAAATTTAAAGAAATTGACCATTACCGCACTTAACAATGTTCAGGAGATAGCTCTTATACCTGTCATTGAGCTTTTTATTGATTTTGAATTCAAGAATTTAGAGATTCTTATCCTGAAAAATTTTTCTTTCGAAAACTCCTTGTTTTCAGCATTTGCTGAAGCTCTATCACATGTGAAATTATCAGCACTGCAGTTTGTGACATGTGACGAGGTCACTCTTGGACAACTTAAATGCATTCTCGAACAAATTAAAACACTGAAATACTGTGACATTCAGTGCAATTTAGAAAATGTTGTAGATAAACATGTTTTTGCAGAACTGGCCAATCAGTTAGTTGGCGAAGTGAACTTTAATTTGAACAGTCTAGAAATGGTTCCGTCAAGTCTTTTGCAGTACAGACGATCAGAGTACAGAGCTTTGTGGCCTAAAGGACAGTCTTTTTTGTGAGAATTTTGCTGATTAAGTGATGTTTAGGTGTTATTGTGAACAGTCGTTTAAAACAGAGTACTTATTTTTGTTGGAAGAGGTTTTCTCGATATGAGGTTTAAGTTGTAATTTAATATTCCTCAGACAAGACCCAGAAATTCTGTGTATTTAACTCAGGAAGAGATTATACTTTTTTATTTTTGAATTTTTTATTCTATGTCTCCATATACATTTGTTTATTTCTGTGCCATGAATCAATTTATTTAAATTATTACAGAAGTGCATTATTTTATTATTATATTTTTTAACTCAGGAAGAGTGTTTTCTCCTTTATTTTGTTATTAAAAGAATAAAGCTGTACTAGTTGTTTTTTTTTTATTCACAAGGAACAATTCTTAACACAATCTTCTTGCAATTTGAAGTCTTTTGAGTGACCCTCTGTTCATCAATTCCTGGTCATATATACCTGCATTGGGCAAGACTTGGGGAACTTGGTCATCTGTCATCATATCCTGGAAATCATCGTTGTTTAAGATGCAGATATTGTGCAGTATACACCCTGTCACTATAGTTTTTACCATTAATTTTGTATCATTTTGGTCAAGGTGCTTTAATCTGGTAAATCGCCCTTTTAATAAACCAAATGCACGTTCAACTGTACTACGAATGCTACTGTGTATGTAATTATAACGTGTTTGGACTTCAGTAAGATGCCCATTGTCTCTGAAAGGTGTTAATAACCATGAAAGATTAGGATAAGCCGAGTCGCCTAACAAATGACCATCTCCACATAAGACTGGTCCATTTTTAAACAATTTCGAGTGGCGCAAAACACGCGCATCATGGACCTTTCCTGGAAAGCCAACAAAAATGTCTATAAAGCGCAGATCTTCTCGTACAACAGCTTGCAGGACTATTGAATAAAAATCTTTACGGTTGTAATAGTCAATCCCCCTGTCTGATGGTCTTTTAATTGAAATATGTGTCCCGTCAATGAATCCAACGATGCCAGGAAAACCTTTAAGATCAAAATACATATCCTTGATTTCCTGAATCTCTGTAGGAGTAGGCCACAGAATAACTGCATCTAATAGATAGTCACTAATGAAAGTTATTAAATTGTGAATTGAATATAAAGCCGTGCTTTCACTTGTTCCAAATCTATCTGCAATGGCAGCATACTTGTCTAAGCTGGCCATATACCACAGAAACATCAGTAGGCGGTCCTCGAGTGGAGTCTGAGCTGATCCTCCTGTAGACATGCGGCATAAAATGCCTGATATATTCTGTTGGATGCATATTGAAGAAATTTTCTCTTTTAGACACTGAACACTCACTCTGTCAACTCTGAAAAAGTCTTGAATTCATCTAGGTGAAAGTGGGAAACAACATTTCTGGTATATTTCTTTTGTCTGTGTCTTTCTTTGGGTACATTTCGCCATTTTATTGATGAACTACAACAAGAAATCATATGAATAAGATGTTGAAAAGTTGTCGAATGATTTTGATGGCACATCCTACATAAATTTTCAAAGGGAGGGGGGGGGGGGCTAAGGCTAAATCAAAACATGGTATGTGTATAAGACTTATGAACAAGAGAGATTACGCCCCCCACCCCCTTTCGATTCACTGAGCTGTTTTAATTCGTTTATCAGTTCACTATAAACAAATAATTTTGATTATCAAATTGTTATAGCTGTATGTGAGGCTGTGTGTGTAAGGGGGGGGGGGGGTGTAAACATATAAGTCAAGATCTTTCACACTGCACAGACTGCAGGTCCCTGCGGTTAACCTCGTAAAATGTGCGATTTTTTGACATTATAAATATTTAATATCGTCCTTAATAAACTTAAATTGTACTTGTACTTACGAAGCCAATAAGGCTAAAGGTAGAAGATCATCGTCCTCACTCTCGCTGTCGCTGCTATCAAAGAGAGTAGCTGCTAAAAACGTCACTTGTTCTATCATGTTTATTTGTAGTTTCTGTTTTCCCTTTTTTTTTTTTTACCGGAAGTGATCATTCTTTGTTCTTATTTCATTCGACTGGTACCTATACGTAACTTTTACTCATTTCTCATTTTATGCGTTCGACTGGTACGAGACTGTTGAGAAACTTTTAAGCAGTGCGCATATGGGCGGAGCCTATTTTTACTCATCAAAAAGGTACCAGTCGAATACGCCAATAAATACCTAGGTTTAATCAAATTCACAAATCGACAAGCATTAATATATCCTAAATAAACAATATTCTAATATCCACCCACCATCCCAGACTTACATAAAAACCCATTAACAAAATTATACATCAAATCTAACTCTTCTTACACCTGACGACTATTGATTTCATCTTTTTCTTTACTGGGCAGACGGACCTGGACCTTGACTTCCTGAATTGGGTTTCTGCTCGCTCTGTCCTTTTTCGGCGTCTCTCCGCTGCCGGGTTCCTCCGGAATGGTGGGGCTCTGTCTCTGGCGTTCAGTCGAGGTCTGAACCATTCTCGGCTTGGGAGTGTAGGCCTTCTAGGAGACCTAGCACGGATTGGAGTGGCCGGTCTATCCTCAAGCTGGGGGTGAGTCCTCACTTGGGCCTGCTATTATAGAAGTAATCAGTTAGTGTCTTCGTTAGCTGGAGTATTGCTGCTGTTTGATCTGCCATCGAAGCAACCTGCTGTTCTCCCTGTCTTTTGACTTCGGCTTGAATCTCCGTCATCGCATTCACTAACTCCATCTTTTCGCCATCAAGTCCGGACTCCTCTCCACCCAGTAACTGTGGCAGGATGTCTACCACCTCTGAAGGGGGCTCAATATTGGTGTAGGGGGGATTAACTCCGCCACCTCCTCCAACAGTGTGGCCAGTGGTGTCTCTTTGTCCTTCTTTGCGTCCATCTCCAGCCAATAAGCGAGAGAAGCCGCCTGCTCCCATCGTATCAGAAGGTCGTCCTTCCAGATGAATGGCTTCGTGGCTCTGACAATCTCCACCTGGGTATCTGCCCCCTTACGTGGACCATACCACTTTCCGTGGGATAACAACTCCTTTTCCGTTAAAGTAACATAATCACAGTTTTTGCATGTAAATGGAACATATTTTCTTTCGTTACATGGTTTTTCAAATAAAGTTTTACAACATATTTCTTAATCTGCTTGAAATTACGTAGTGTACACTGGAACACTCGACCTTTCTTCTCGGACTTGGCCACGTCCATGATGATACTGCAAAATTACAGACAAGTATTAGGTAAGTATGAATTGTTGATGGCATCTTCTTTGGTCGATATTGAGAAAAGTACTACCGTAGCTGTCAGACTTTTGAATCCCACTTGTACACAAAAACAGATATGGCAAGATGCTGTACTTGATGCGGTTTAAAAGAGGGGGCAGTGTAGTGTAGGTGACCCCCATTTTAAGGGGATGAAGGACCTTTAGCTGAAAAAATAACTGTCATTTAATTTTTCTCATATTTTGTATATATCTTATTTAGTATGTCCCACATACTATAAAGCAGACATATCAATAGGTTTCTAGACTTATTTCTGAGATATTGAGTGACAAATACCATACCCCACAGTGTCTGAGCGGAGTTTTTATTCTCCGTGTTTCTGGGTCCATTACTCGGTCGATAATTGAAATTTTTCACCATAGATAAAAAATATACCAGCGGAAATGTGTCTTTTAAAATATTTTAGAGTATGAATAGGGTTAAAAATTCGAAAAAGCAAGATTCTTTTGTAACACCACATCTGGAGACGGAAATTTACGACTTTTTTAGGACAACTTAAACCATAAAAAAATTAATTTGCAAAAAATCCTATCATTCAATATTTGAAAATTTACGTCGAAGTTCAAGGTCGTCATTGTATTGATTAACTGTAAAAATATCGATTGGTGAAGCTGAGCTCAATATTACTCGGGGCAAAGTTAAACGAGTCATGATCATGAGAAAAACGTGTCATGTTTACATTTCTCGAGTATGGGAAAACCCAACTATGACGTCACACATTCCTGAAATAAGCGAAATAAGACAAACCCACAGAACTTTTCCGTCAACAACCATGTAAAAATATTTTTTGCGTTCTGAAATTTACAAAATACCCTACCATGTACATATTATGGCCCGTTTTTATGATTTTATACTACCCGTTTTTACTGTGTATGATCTTACTGAACTAAGAGATCCACTATGACGTCAAAGACGCACTGGACGCGCAGAGTAGGGAAACGGCAGAGTGGATTAATCTATTCCGTAATTTGATAATATTTGCAAGAAATTTTGAATGTTTTCAGATATTTTTATACTAGATGGTGAATGCAAACAAACAGTCAAAAAAATTATACAAGTACTGTGGTTTCAATCTCGTTTTGTACATATTTTATCAGAGATTATGACGTAAATCAACTGAGTCACGTGACCATACATCCTTCATCCCCTTAATTAGTTATTAGTTCAACTCATCAAAATAAAAAAGTGAAGAATATACAGCCACAGTCCAAGCAATTCATGGAACTACAGGATCACTCCCACAGAACATCATGGTAATTGACACATTAGGAACAGTTACAAACGGCAAAAAAATCCGTCAGAATAATAAATATCAGTAATGAGGATGTCTACTTAAAAACCATAAGTCAAATTGGTACTTATGTCAAATTGGTATTTTACACAAAGTTGATGTCATCAAATCTACAGACGATGAATACGACCTAGAAATTCTTAACAGTTTACGTCCGAAAAGTACGTACAGATTTCATCAAACCGACTAAGAGTAAATTTGAGAATACCGATTTAAAATTTAAAACTTGGAGATACACAGTTGACCAACGGCCAGAAGGAGCATTTTCATCCACTCATTCAAAAACATTTAGAAGCGTTTACAAAAGATGACGTTGATCTTGGCTATATGGATTTGATTACTCATAACATCAAGTTAACAGATGAAATCCCTGTTCGAGTGCCACATCGTAGAATTCCACCACATCAGATTGATGAAGTAAAACAACACATACGCAAATTGTTAAATAAAAGGATAATTAGAAAGAGCAATTAGTCCCTTTGCGTCCGCCATCATGATAGTGACAAGTCTTCGTTTATGTGTAGATTATCGCGAACTGATTTAAAAAAAAAAACTATAAAAGATGCGTATCCGTTACCCAGAATGGAAGAAACATTAGACGTCTTACATGGAGCGAAATACTTCAGTTCAAGCCCGAGGATACCATCAAGTTACCATGAATGAGAACTCAACTTAGAAAAC